CTCCCATGGAATGGCTGGTAGTTTTGAACTGCTGACCGTGAGATTAGCAGCCCGGTTCATAACCACTATGCTTCCAGAGCTCATTAGATAGGTACATAGGGGGTATAAGAACAGTAGTAAGATCTGCTCACCATGGAACGATCAATTGTTGACTATCAAAAGGGCAACATATACCTAAGGACAAAATTGAGAAGGGCTGGGGATGAGGGCGGAATGGAAAGGGAACCATTGGGAGAAGATGGGTTAAGTGTTGTGGCGTGGAGGGGATTGGAAGTTGGAACAAAGGGTATGAGTTGTTGAATGTAACTGATGATTTTGTTGTAAACATTCACTGAGTTCACAATAAAAAGTTAAAAGGAAAAGGAGTGATTAAGTAAAATTATAGTACATCCATAAAGTTACCTTAATCTACAACTTTATTTATACTGGCTTGATTATATAGAACAATACTTGAAATAAAATGATATGCATAATATTGTTAAGACCAAAAACATCGCAGTAGTTTTACTGGTAATAGTCCCTTTTCAGTGTCTCTCAACAATACGTATATTGTCTTTAGTTGCTGTTGAGTCTATCCCAACTTAGGGTGACTCCATCCATGCACAGCAGGATCAAATTCACAGGGTTTTGATTAGCTGCTTTTTATAAGTAGATCACCAAGCTTTTCTTCCTAGTGTACCTTCATTTGGGAACATCACTGAAACTTGTTCAGCATCATAGCAACATGCAAGCCTCCAGTGCCAGATAGGGTAGCTATGCATGAAGTGCTTTAGCTGGAAATCCAAATTATCCAAAAGGCTATATACCAATAGGTTATTGCTGTTGGTAAGGGCTGCCAAGTCGGTTCCAGTTCAGCAACCCTGTGTAGGGTTTCCAAGGTGAGTTTGAACCTCTGATCTTGTGGTTCAAATGGACTTGTGGTTCAGTGTTTATCCTACAGCACCACACCAGAACTCTTCCAAGGCTGTAAAAGGCTATAAATCTTTACAGGAGCAGAAATCATCCTCATCTTTCTCCTACAGAGCAGTTGGGGGAATCGAACCTCGGGCCTTATGGTTATAGTCCAGTGCTTGTCCTACAGACCACAGTTCTCCCCACAGATCATGACAAGATGTAATTACAGGGTTTCTTGTGTGCTTCCTTTAACTTGCCTGTATTTTTTTAAATTAACATTCTGAATTGTTTACTTGTTATTCTTGTTGATGTTAGACAATTCATGTTGCTTGTTAGGCAAGTTTTACTAATTAGTCAAAGACAAGTATATGTAATTTAATGAATATATGTAAGTGTATAGAAGGAATATGGTGCTTAGATAAGATTTTAAATCAAATCAGAAAAAGGCAAAAGTTTAAAATCGAACAAAGATTTTAAAGATATATAATAGATTACAAAATTCCATTTGGGTGCATAATGTAAATATGCGGAAAAAAAAGCATGATTTAGAAATATTCGTTTCCAACCAAAATACCAGTCTGATCACCTATCTTTCAGCCAGATTGTCTATTATCTTTAAAGTCTGTTCATGTACTTATTATATAAAGTATTCTCCCAAGGCATTCTTTTTTTTTCACTTTTTCACTGTTAGCAAAGATGGCAGACCATATTCAACAATCAGACAAGCCTTTCCCCTCTTTGTTTGTTGATTGCATTACTGGATTACTAGTAGCATAGTGGTTATGAATCAGGCTGTGAACCGCAAGGTCAGCAGTTCGAAACAACCAGCTGTTCAGTGGGAGAAAGATGAGGCTTTCTGCTCCCATAAAGATTTACAGCCTCAGAAACCCTGTACAGGGTTGCTATGAGTTGGAACCGACTTCATGGCACAAGGAGTCCTGCTGTGGCACTATGGGTTAATGCACCAGACTGCAAAGCCATTTGAACTGCAAGGTCGGTGGTTCAAGCTCACCAGCTACTCCTCGGAAACCCTATACAGGGTTGCTATAGATCAGAATTGATTCGACGGCACTTAACAACAACAACATAGAGCATTTAGGAGCCCTGGTGGCATAGTGGGGTATGCGTTGGGCTGTTGACTGCAAGGTCAGCAGTTCAAGCCCACCAGACACTCTGAGGGAGACAGATGGGGCTTTCTGCTCCTGTAAAGATTTACAGCCTGGTAAACCCTATCCAGGGTTGCTATGAGTCAGAACTGACTCGATGGTATGCAGTAGCAGCATAGGGTTTCTATGGCTTTCTCTTACAGTGAATTCTATGAACCCAATGCCCTCATGATGGAAGAAGAAGGCGCCATAATTGCTGGTCTCTTGGTGGGTCTGAATGTCATTGATGCCAACTTCTGTATGAAAGGAGAAGATTTGGACTCTCAGGTATGAGAAAAATCCTTAGTTACCTAGTGTTTCACTGTCAATTCTATTATTATAAGAATATGGATTGATTTGATCACATCAACCCAATTAGGGAAGTTTTTATGTGTCATAACTAGGATTTCCTTTCATTTTGAGGTAAATATAGAAGTTTTAGCTATTGTTATTTTTCAGCTTGGCTTTTTATGTGGTATGAATCATTAAAAAATTCTTGTCTTTACTATGATCCTTGTATAGGCTAAAGTATATACACAGGCTAAAATGTTCACAAAGACTGAAACACTTGTATATTCTCATATACTAAATACTAAACTAAAATCCAGTACTGTGTAGTAGTTGAGAAGTAGTTAAACTGCTCAGGTTCAAATTCTGGCTTCCTCATTTTCTAACTGAATATATTTTCAGTTATTTAATTTCTTTTTGCTTTGGATTCCTTGTTTGTAATGCAGAGATAAAAAGAGTATGTATTTCATAGGGTTATTATGAGGAATGAAAGAGTTAGTACATGTAATGTGTTTAGAACAGGGCCTGATGTACATTAATAAAAGAGAGGCTTCTGTTCTTACTCTGAATATTTCTCAGACCTTCTATATGAAATGCTATAATAAATTTCTGATAATTTAAGTTATTAAGTTACTCCTAAAAGTGAAATTTAATAGCAGAATACCTGAAATAAGCAGATAGCATGAACAAGCAAGAGAGAAACTTTAGACCTATTGGTACTAAAAAATCTGTTGACCATTTGTCTTAGCCATCATCTAAAGGCTTACGAGAAAGAAATTAGATCTTGTTTATACTAAATTTTCTGTTGACTGTTTACCTTAGCCATGATCCATTATTTATTCCTTATAGTTTTTAATATTGACTCTTTACTTCTAACCTTTGTCACTTCTTGATTATATTAAAGTAAAATGGTTTGTCATGACACATTTCTTTAATTTCCATGGTTATATTACTGTTTTGAGTGCCTAGAAATAGATGTTATGTTATGCCTTGGAAACTATCTAATTTTGTATTAAGTTGAAAATTCTCTTTGTAGGTTGGAGTTATAGATTTTTCAATGTATCTCAAGGATGGGAACAGCAGTAAAGGTAGTGAAGGGTATGTACAGAGAAATTAAGTTTTTTCTCTTTCTTATGTCTTTGGTAGTATTTAATACTGCTTTAACAGCCTTGCTGAAAGAATTCCTAATTAAAGTTTTAGTAGAATTTTGCTAAAAATAGCTGGTACTATGCCTACTGTTGTTAGGTGCCGCCAAGTCAATTCCAACTCATA